TATATATATATATATATATATATATATATATATATAGCACGGTTCTATTAAATTGATTAAAAGTGACAGTAAAGACATTTATAATGTTGCAAAAGGTTTCTATTTCAAATAAACTGTGTTCTTTTTAACTTTATATTCATCAAAGAATCCTGAAAAAAAGTATTTTGGTTTCCACAAAAATATTAGGCAACACAACTGTTTTCGACATTGATAGTAATAAGAAATGTTTCCTGATCACCAAATCAGAATATTAGATTAATTTCTGAAGGATCATTTGATGCAAGCTGTTGAACATTTAGCTTTGTTGTTACAGGATTAATTTACATTTCAAAGTAATAAAATAGAATGTTTATTTTAAATTGTAATATTTCTAAATATCATATTTTACAATATTACTATTTTAAGTCAAATAAATGCAGCATTGGTTCTGCAAGAGCTTAAGATACTTATTTTAAAACAAAATCTTTCTGACCCCAAACATTGGACAGTTGTGTATAATGTAAAGATAGAAATAGATAGATAGAAATGGCAAATCATAATTGGTGTTTTCCAGGCTTGGAAAAATCTGAAAGGTAAATTACTTTGTTGCCACTAGCAGAACTACAGAAACCTATGGCTGTTTTAAACAAGTTTCACACACTAAATGATTCATTAGCAAGTTAATCTGAAGTTTAACATTATTATTATTATTGACATTATCCAGTAGTGCCAAATGAATGGAACAAAGTAATTGATTGAGATCTTTACAGGAGTCCCCATACTTTCTGGCCAAGACTGCTCACATACTGTTTTTTGTTTTGTTTTTACTAATTTCTTTGTTATGTTTGCTTGGGACAATGTGTAATCTGTGCGCAATCTTTGTGTAATCTGACAGTGGGACTCCAGTTATGCAGGACTGGCTTTACGACAGTCTAGTGCCCTGCCAGATGGTCTCCATGAGAGGGTGCAGTCTGCTTTGAGAACTCTTCAGCGGCGTGGATGTCTCCTCCGAGATCTTGTCCGAGTCCGAGATCGGGACGTCTTCACAGCTGTTTCGCGTGCTCTCGTGGGTCAGCCGGGCTACACATACCGTTATCTGGACACCCGTCTGTTCACTATCCCCTGGCACTGTGAGGGAGAAGAAGGCCAGAAAGATGAGAAAGACAAACCTTGCTGTGACTCCGACCTGAGGGACGCTTGCAAAGCATTGTGGGAGCTCAATCAGTTCTTTTGCTCGGATGTAAAGCAGCAGACAAACGCAAGAGGCGTCAAGCGTTCCCGCAGTGACACTGAAAACAGTGAAGACACACCGGGGGAGGGAATGTGCGAAGAGAGTGTTAAGGACAGGTTACTTGAGGAGAAGCAGGAGAAAGAGGAGGAGGAGGAGGAGGAAGAGGAAGAAGACAGTGGTCAGGGCTGTTCTCATTCCTCACCTCCTTCATCTGCTCTGCCACCTGATGTGGCCGGCCTGGTTCAGTTTAACATTACCCTCATCAACTACATGGACCCTACAGCCATGACCCAACTGAAGGAAGAGCCGTATTATGGCATGGGCAAGATGGCGGTCGGTTGGCATCATGATGAGAACCTGGTTCCTCTGTCACCAGTTGCTGTCTACAGCTATAGCTGCCCAGCAGAGCCAAAGAATGAAGGTGAGGTCAAAAGTCTTGGGTAGAGCATTTAATACTGTATCAGAGCCATGGCACCATAGGGCTCTAACACTGTCGTTCTGAGCCTCTTAGATTCAAAGACCCGACTTTGTCCAAGACAATATTTAAAACCCTCCTATCAAAGCTGATACAGTATGTACCTCTAGTAATTCTGTTGTAACAAAACAAATAAACGTAGAAATATGATGGCAATTTACTCTTTAATGTACATCTTTATTTTAATGGGGTTTTAGCATTTTTAGTTAAGATTATTATTATTATTATTGTACCTACATTTAAATCAAGCATAGCATTCTGGCAGGTCACGTCAGTCAAGCTTGCATCAGCTGACTCTCAGTTGATCAATGACTACCTAAAGGAATACAACGCCTATCACGACATATCTATATAAAGTCTATTCAGTATTCAGGAGCTTTATTGCATTGCTCAGGAGCTAATTACCCTCCTCCATCCCCAGCTCCTCCTTTCGTTCACAGTCAGGACTTGACTTCTAATATTCCTTGTTAAGTCAGACTCCTTTATCTTTAATTATGTTGTCACATTAAATTGTCATTAAGAACATTAATGATATCTGCTACATTTGGTTCTCTTCTGTTTACCCAAGGGGGGTTATTGCTGCTCTCCCTGCTCTTATTCATGCTAGGCTGCATGGATGGGCAGGGAGGTTTTGCCCAGAACAGAACCATACCACCAATCCAAACTGTGAGCTAATTGTCTTTGACAATAGTGATCTTGACAGAAATAATTTAAAGACTTATTGGGGCCCCCTGGATGTTTGCTAAGGTCCCCTAGTGGACTCCAGCCCACTAGGGTAAATTTATTTATTTATTTATGCATTGTTTATTGAATGTACTTTTTTATACTTTCACTTTTTTATGGACAAAAATGTAATTATAATCAGAATTTAATTGTTAATAAATAATTACTGCTTATTTAAAATTGTATACTGTATAAAACATTATAGAATTGCATTTTAGAATCGAAACTGATAATTAACTGAAAAATACAAATTCTGTCATTTACTCACCCTAATGTCATTCCAAGCCTGTATGACTTTCTTTATTCTGTGGAACACAAAAAGAGATGTTTTGAAGAACCGTTTTTGTCCATGCATTGAATGTTGGTGGTGACCAAAACTACAATTATTTTTTCTTTTTTGTTCTGCATCAGTATTAAATGCATTATTAGAATTTTAATTTTTGGGTTAACTCTCTCTTTAAACATTCCCACTCCTGTTTCATTCTCATTGAAGAGACAACAAATCCTTTCTTTTTCTAGCTCACCACTGAGAACCTAAAACATTTATTATGACACCAGCTAGTTCAAAACCATCCTTCACTTGATAGGTCGAATGTGTTCATGCAGTCATTGTATGAACTTGTTCCATGAAGAAGCAGCCAGATCTTCCATATTTCACATGAATCTTACTGGAGACGTTTTTCTGGACATCAGTCTCTCTTCACGTCAGGCTAACAGCTTAGCATGCAGCTGTGTGCGTGTGTGTATGTCGGTTCGACAGAACAGAGCGTGGTGTGCTAACCAGAACCACCTGCCTCACGAGCTCCGTTTCGCCAATCTCTTACTGACCGATTTGACCTTTGACCTCCCCAGGGCCCGCTTCAAACAGCGCATGAATGGTCTGTGTGTGTGTCTTTGTGTGTGAATGTGTCAGTTTGTGTGGAATTATTCCACAGCTGTTCTTTTGGAGGTAAAATTGACCCTTCGGTTCCAGACTTCAGAGAGACTCCCCTGATGGAACCCGTGCAGAGCATTGCACAAAATGTTGCCTTCACTTTAGAGAAATCGCTATGAAATGCTGCAGACCAGCTGAAACGGATTGTTGCTCAGAAGAATTTCGCTTTGTACATCATTTATTTGTTGCTCTGTGTGTGTGTGTGTGCATGAATGGGTTTTATTTTTTTATTGTCCCTTCGGATAACATCTGTGTGTTGTATAGATTCGTGTTTCACCTGAACACGCTTTGAAGAAGAATATCTCACCGAAGCTTTTCATGATGCCCGTATCTTTTAACACGTCTGTGATGGGTTTATAGAGTATGCTGGCTGTGCTGCGGCGTGTAGTATCACGAACAGTCTCCGGTGGGAGGAGTCGGTCAGTGACAATCCTGTTCAGCTCTTCATCCAACACTGACTAGATCCAGCTCATTTCCTTTTCTAACAGGCAATGGTTTGTGCCACTGTGATTTTGAAGTGTTTTTGATGGAATCTTTTCTGCCGCTGCTGTGTTAGCTGCAGATGGCCCTTTGAGAGCTGTGTCAGAAAGCAAAGGCTGAAATTAAGTTACTATTTATCCCTGCTGAGCGCAGAGAAAGCCTTGCTCAGGGCTCGGGCTTCCAAGAGCGCTTTTGTATTGATTTCACTGATAGGTGCCAGCCTGCCCTCTCTTATTTTATTAATTTACTTACTTTTTTTTGTCTTATCAGTTACACTTTCTTTCTTTATTTCTCTTTGGCTCGGTCATTGTTTTTTGATTAACACAGATCGTTGGTGGAAGTTGCATAACATTTTATTAGTAAGTACTGTATTAAGTATTAGTGAGACATTTTATCAAAAGCGACTTACTGTGCACTTATTATGGTTCTTGAAATGGCAACTTCAGGTAATGACATTAAATTGCTGCATTGTATGCAGAACCGACTGAACAACTAGTTGTTAATGCAGCGATGTCTAAAACTCCTTGTAATTTTGTGTTGCACAATATATCGGTTTTCCACCAATATTCAAGTGTTTTTTTATTGTATTCACCTTACTCTATTTTTACATTTAGATTACCTTTTGTGGTCATTGATTCTCACTTAAAGTTAATCTGTAACAATAATAATTTAATGTAGGATACTGCAAATCTCAAAATGAATATCTGTTTTCATACTGTATAGTATAATGTGATGTCTAAATTCACTTGTAGTGAATATATTTAAAATATATAAAATATACTTTATATTTAGGTTTTAGTGTTTATTTCTGATTTAGGCATAAATAATTTAGAAATGGCCATGCTTTATTTTAATGCATCCTTGTTGCAGTGTAATTACACAAATAAGTACTGACTAATATTAATTAACAACATGCACTTATAATAAGTTTAGGGTTAGGATTTGATTTAGTGTTAGTTACATGTAATTGTGTATGATTATTACTGTTATTACTATAGTGAATACATGTGCTGTGAGTTGTTGCAAGGACACATTAAACTTAAGTGTCACCATAGAAATTTAACATCGACCATTCAGTGGTCACTGGCTATAACAAATATATTATTATCTGATTATGTGTTATTTATCATTATTTAGATAAAAAAACAAAAAATCTGGTACATCCCTGCTGTAAATTTCAAACTACATCTTTGTTTATAGGGGTGACTGAAAAGGACGGGGAGGGACAGAGTAAAGAAAAAGAAAAAGAAAAAGAAACCGAGACAGGAGGTGAAGGAACAAGTAAAGAAGAACTGAAGAAAGAAGAAGGAGAAGGTTCGGAGAAGGAGGAAGTACAGAAAGAGAAGGCATGTTGGCGTGTTGGACTGAAGGTGGCCTGGGACATCCACACACCAGGTCTGGCTTTGCCTCTACAGTCCGGAGACTGCTACTATATGACAGGTACACAATCACATTCATCTGTATCCAGAAACAGTAGACTCAAGTACATGTGTAAAGAGGATTGTACCGTCTCGGTCATGTTGAAATGCATTAGACCAGGAATTATCTTTCCCAGAGGATATACACATCTACATTCTTTTATATACATATGTGTCTGTTCCCCTAGGATTTTGCTTCCACAGGTTCCTTTATCATGTGTATCAGAGAGGTTAAGAAAACCAAATGTTATTTTATGAAGCGCTGTGACCCCTGTCTGAGAGCAGGACTGAGAGAGAGAATCAGTAAATCAGACTTTTATTACTGATGGCTACAACAGATGCCCCCTGTCTCCGACCCCACATACGCGCAAACCCTCTCCTCTAAATATCCCATAAAGTGAGTCTGATGACCTTGATAAGGACACTATTTATTTCCCGATTTCTGTGTACAAGCATGACTAATGCTTTCCCCCCCTATGCGCACAGTTTTATCATCTCCGCTTGGACATTTTCATCTGTTTGGAAGAGCTTTCCAGTGGTCGGGCCTCTTTGTTGCTGGCTGCTCTAAACTGAGCGTTATTTATACCTACCTAATGGCACTCTTACTCTTGTGAAGTGACTTTAAGTGAAAAGCTAAAGCAGCATAAACATAATGGGTCATAATGGGTTTCCTGGGCGCAGGACAAGGGTGAAAGTGTGACTGGAAAACTGGCTTATAAACTGTTAATGACACTATGTCTTCTGGCTGAATTAGTCAGATTTTAATTTTTTTTTCTGTTGAATTTGTAGAAAGCTACTTCTAAAGGCACATGAAGTCTAGACAGCAGTGCAGTGTGTTGGGGGGTTCAGTAAGCATCCATTCTCTGAGATGTGAAGAAAACCCCTCCCTAAAGATCCCTAAAGATATATATATATACACACACACAAACACAAACACACACACACACACACACACATATATAAGAATGATTTCTTAAGAACCATGTGACACTTTATACTGGAGTAATGGCTGATGGAAATTCAGCTTTGCATCACAGAAATAAATGATAGTTTAAAGGATATTAAAATAGAAACCATTATTTTATATTGTAATAACATTTTGCAAGATTACTGTTATTTTTCTGTATTTTTGATCAAATACATATTCTTGATGAGCATAAGAGGCTTCTTTAAAAAACATTACAAGTCTTAATGATCCCAAACTTTTGAGCGGTAGTGTATATGTGTGTGTATATGTATGTGTGTGTGTATATATAGGAAAGGGAGAAACAAGGGAAAATGAGGTACAAAAAGAAGGTAAAGGATGGAAAAAGCTGTAGTTTGCAATCTGTTTCCCCAAGGAAAAGGGAAAAGGATGTAAGTAAAAAAGAAGAGAAGGAAGGAAAACAAAACGGAAAGGAAGGAAACAAAAAAGAAGAAATGAAAAAGAAGGAAAAGAGAGAAGGAAATAAGGAAACAAGAATAGAAGGAAGGATAAGGTAGGAAAAGAGAAAAGTAGTAAGGAATGTAAAGGAAGAAAAAGAAAAGGATGGAAAAAAGAAGAAAAATTGAGTTTTAGGTAAGGGAAGTTTTAGGAAGTAAGAATGATGTGAAAGGACTTTTAAAGAGAGAGAAGGAAGGTAAAGGAAGTATTAGGAAATAAAAAAGGGATAGGTAAAAAGGAAAAGGGATAAAAATGAAAAAGAAGGTAAGTATAAAAGGCAAAGGAAAGAAGAAGTGGAAATGGGAGAAGGAAGGAAAAAGGAAAGCAAGCTAAGGAGAAAGAAAGAGCGGGAGAGGAAGGAAGGTGTACAGAAAATAAGTCATTCAACTCCCCATTCCTATGATTCTCTAACACTGTCACATCTCTTCCCCTCCATCCGCTGATGCCTCAGACTCTTGTGTGCAAATCTAATCTAATGATTCTCAGAAATGGAATTTGGTGCTGGGTAGCGGAGAACAATTTGTTGGACCGACACCGGGCCCAGCTGGTAATAAGATTTCCTGTGCTGAATGCTCCAGGGACAGGACAGACCTAGGGAGAGGTTTTGACCCAATAGATTTAAAAGCCCGCTTTTAACTCGAGCACAGCAGCCCCTCGATGACAAGAGAATAATGATAAATATTTATTAGGAGAATTTTGTATGGCCCAAGATTCACACCGAGGTTGTGGCAGAGCCCAGGTTGAGAGAATCAGAGTATTATTAGATACCAAGTGTTTTAAAGACAATTTAATGCAACAGAAAAAAAGTAATAGCACACAGAGGAAATGAAAGAGACATTACTGTTTATGCTGCAGTACATCAGAGAATTTAGCAAAGGAAAGTCAGTTCACTCAACGACTGTAATTACAACGCCTTGGGCAGTAGTTTATATATATATATATATATATATA